ATTTGACTTAATAACCTACAGATCACTTAATATTTATAAACATGAAAACAAACAGTGTGTAGTTAAAAACTATTCCGTATTTGTCTAATAAATGATAACTTATTAACTTATTTAGTAGATTATACTTGAGTAATTGAATAAGTAATATTAAATATATTAAAATAATATTTTGTTAAATTCTTAACTAGATACTTATCTACCCGAATAAAAATTTCTAAAAATATATACTTCTATAACACAGATATCTGATAATATATATGTTAGGGTCTATATATATATAGTTATTACGTTTTTAATTATTAATTTGTTAAGAGGAAATTGTATCTAGATGCGTTATTTTTGCTTTATTAACGAGTAACATAGCAAATTTTAAGTTTATGATAATCCCTGTTATATTTAATATTAGAGAGTATAGTATCGACCTGTTATAGACCTGTTATAGACCTGTTATCGAATTGTAAGGCTAATGGGCCACATGTATACATTTTTTTTTAAAGCAAATTATAATATTATTTAATATACATAATTTATTTATTTTGTTTGTCAAAATAAATTTCAATGATATGAAAATGTTTTTAGATTCTAACTTCTAGAATAAAGGGATAAATGGATTGATTTTACAATGATGCGTTTTTTTTTTTTTTTTTTTTTTTTTTTTTTTCATTACCTATAATCTTTTAGCGCAGTATAATTATTTCGATTTTCAACTTTGAGAATGATTTCTGGTTGAAAATTGTATCTGATTGGTACTTTAAGATTGAGAAATAAAAAGCTCTTACTGGTACGAGCCCTATCTCCCCACTGGGTACATCACTTATGTTTGCCTATAACCTTGAGTCTATGTAGAGGTAGAAATCCTTCTATATGTGTTATAACGGATAATTTGGTGTACACTGAATATTAATCATTATTTCTTATTATTATTTTTTTTTCAAATTAATCAATGGTTGATTAATTAAAAATAATGGTAATAATAGTAACATTACAAACCCGTGTTCGCTATATACATATTTACTTAGCGGGTGTTCTAAATATCTTCATTAACTATAGAAATATCATCATCTGTATACAACATATAATAGGGCGAGGTTTGACCCTTTTTTTGATTGCTCGTTTATACCGAATTACCCGCGGCAGCGTGGCTGTGGCACGAGATCGCCACCGGTAATAAAATATTGTTACAACTACACTGCAGAGAACATAAGACATGCGATATTTACAACGATCGAACGATATATTAAATAATATGACGTATACAACAATAATATATTATCTATAATAATATTATAGATAGGTATATCTTATACGTGGGTTGGTATAGTTAACGGTGGCATATTATTATAATGGACCACGCAAGAAGGGAATATAGCAACTATAATATTATGTAGTACTTACTCAACTATTAAAATATGTTGTTTTTTATAATAGCTTAAACACTGATGGACTGTTTGTGTTCATATATTATTATTAAGATATATAAAGTCATATTGGATAATAAAACACTAAATTTCATTTTCGATCTTAATACATAGTATGTAGTATAATATTATATAATATAGTTACTAAGAAATCGCCTCTTCTAACTGCAGACGTTTTTATTATTATTACTATCATCATTATAAACAATAAATGTCCGAACATACAGAAACACATTGCTATTGCAGGTGGTAAGTGTGTAGTTGCAAGTAGTAAAATACCGCCACTGCCGCGCGCTGTCTCGGCGAAGTAACGCGTGTTTTTATGATTTAAGTACTGCAGTGCATGTACATAATACTATAGTTCACATCTTAGAGTGGTGAGGGAGAAGTGCTAAAATACTGTTGAATACAATTTAACTCGTAACAGATATTTAGATATATCCGGAAAAATCCTCCCGAAATCATAGAAGGTTAAAAAAGAATAAATATTTAGGGGCGTGGAAAAGAGGATTGAATATTAAAAAAATTGTTTTCTACTATTTCTTCATTCGTTTAATTATAGTTACTTGATTAGATTTTACGTACCTATTGTAAATATCACTTATAATTTAAACGATTTATAACTTATTTGCATGTAATTTTAAAATCCAATGGCCATAAGTCGCTGGTATAAGGTCATATTAAATAATAACAATATATCCTATTTATCCAGTCGCAGCACGTTTAAATAACATTACCAGCTAAACTATACATAAACATACAATTTTATTATTATATTGATTATAATATGTGCTAGTCTTATATTATATTATTGTTATATATCCACATCGTTCTCTACCTCCACTGTCATCCTATTATCCTATATATCATATGTAAATAGAGGGTTTGAACGAATCTGAACCTGACTTGAACACAAAACATAACGTCGATCGTGGTTACGTCCGATCGCGAGTGTTTACGAATGTTTATACGTTCCCGGTGTAAGCAGTATGCGTTGAACCACTTGATCAGAGTTCCTCATCAAAGTCCGATACGCGCGCGTTGGTACCAAGTATAATAATATTTACTGTACATACCTTAGTATATACTTAAACATTATAGGTACATATACCAATAGTACATTATTCACGTTTAATTTTTGTTGCACCACTGCAAGTATTATGTTTACCTACTCATCATTTTCGATGACCGTTCTCGTATCTCGTACCTACATTATTATTATTATTGTATACACTATATAATGTATTATACAATATAGGGTTTCGCGTTATACTCGTAATATGTGCATTGTGCAGGTATGTTTTATGTCATACGGGCCAGGCGCCGAGCCATCATCGTCACACAACGGCGACGACTAACGAGTTCGGCATTGAACTCGAAGATATTTTTTCCTCTTTGTACAAGTTATAATTGACCTAGATTCGACGAGTATACCTATGTGTAGTATATTATTATGTGTTTATATATGTTTACATATAAGTAACTGACCATACACAGCGGATATAGTGAATAATACGCGTATAGTAAGTACTATACTGACTATAGTTACTACCAAAAGGATAACGATCGTAACCCGAAGCAGATACACCGATTTCGCCCAACATATCATATGGCTTATGCTTTCTTTCACATCGTGGTAATTACTTGGGTCAGTATTGGGCAAAAACACTATTAGTTAATAATTTTAATCGATAATATTGAAATTTACAAAATATGGATATTCTAAACATTACTTATGCTATTATATTATATTGACCAACACAGACATTGAAAATTCTAATGAGTTTGAAAAATGAACGTCAAATATTTTTAAAAGATAATCGAGAAGAAGAGGACGTATGACTTAAGATAATCTTACCGAAACATTTTACTTTTACTTTTTAGTATTTATAAATTGTATAGCCATACGTCCTCTTCTTCTCGACTATTTTTTATAGATATTTGACGTTCATTTTTCAAACTCATAAGAATTTTCAATGTATGTGTTGGTCAATATAATATAATAGCATAAACAATGTTTAAAAATTAGAATAAACAATATACAATATTATATACATAATATAAATAACTACCTGCAGGCTGCAGTTATACTTAAATATATGAAAAAAAAAGTTTGACGCGCTACAAGTCGAACAGAAAAAGAAAAAAAATCAATCTCGATCACAATAATGAACCATACCTATAGTTTATTAGTTTATATATATATATTAAAATATGAGTTTGCGTGGCCACCCATTCAAAAATGTAATATTATTGTGCTGTGAACAATATTTGTATGAAGTGTACGCCATGTACGATGTACTTATATATATATGATATGTATATAAGTATAATGTATATTAGTATATTATAAAATGTTATGAGGAATCGCGAGCACGCGGGCGTGATAGCCGCTGGCTTTGCTTGCACCGAGAAATCCTATAGGCTATATGTATATATTTACAATACATATAATATATAATATATTATGTATATACAACAGTACGGTATACGTGTACGCATGACCGCTCATTGTTTTGAAAAGTGATATCGAAGTAGACGTTTGAAACGCTCCGTATGCATAATAATCATAGTAATAATTTATCCCCAGGGTGTTCGGTAGAATGAGTATATAGGGTAATTTTGTAATTATTAAAAAGAAATATCGAGATCCAGAGGTGTCATAAACATAATAATAATATATTTGAATATCTATGAGCCCGGTGTATTGCTGCAGAAGATTATGCGTAGGTGCACATAATCAGGAGTGTGAAGATTTAAGCGATTTTACAACGCCGACTTTTTACGACCCTATATGCCTATAACTATTGTGTACGATAATCCCACTGCAGACCAGTTATACATTAACTCTAGTTGTTTCGTGTGCGTACGAATGTAACTATAAAACTCGAAGATAAAACTATACAAACCCAAATAATTAGTATGTGCGTTGGCACCAAAAATAATTATTTTAGGTTTAAACCCATTCGATTTTGAATAAAAATATACACCGAGGGTTAAAAATAAGTACTACAGTCACTACACATAAGTTTTTATTTTTATTTTTAAAGAAATGCGTGGACGTAAGGTAAAAGGTAAATTACTCGTTAACGCATATTTATAAATCTAGTTGTAAAAACTAAAAAGAACCTTACAATGATATAAATATTTTTTTAATCAAATACATTTTCGTCTAATGATCATAAAATCTACAGTGACGTCGAATATAATGATTTTTCCGTCACTTATTATCTAATATATCAATAATTATTTTAAAATGTATTGAAGTAGACTACTTAATTATAATATTACCTAATCAAACCAAATAATCAGAAACTACAATGAGAATATCAAAAATTTAATATTATTTACCTGAAGTTACGAACAATATTACAATAAATATAATATACAATATATATACATATATTTATATGCAATATCGTTCTAAAAAAATGTCACCACTGCTCTATATTAAAAGCATACCCAATGGTCAGTTTTGTATTATAATCATAGGTTATTATTCCAATTTCATGAACAATGCTTTTCTTGCTAATAAGTAATAACATATCATTATTTATTATTATAAACGTAAATAGCTCTTACCTGTGTTTGAACTGTATTCTCCGATATATCTCTTTGTCAAGTATCGAACAGTGACAGCTGTAATAAAATAAAAAAAAAATTAATTAATATATATAAATATATAAAAATATATATTAAATAATAAAAATATATTTAAATTGTATTAAAACAAATATTATTTCTTATTAGCAATAATAATAAATTGTTATGCAAGTAATTGGTATAACATATACATAATATCTATTAACTATAATAATAAATATCTACAGTAAATACCTATAATAATTGAGAAAATTATGATTTAATTTTTGAACAATTATAATTTATGAGTATAATGACGTGATGTTTCACTGTCATTATTTTTTTGAATAATTATTATTTGTACTCATTTCCTTATTTATATGTTTATACACTTCCAATGATGTATTTAGTTACAACTGAGTAGTTTATTTCACTCTATGACCAACTACTGTGTGTCCATTAATAAGCATAAATATTAAATACGTTAAATGCGTTAAATATATATTAAAACACAGCAAGCTATAATTTTCATTTATGGTTTCAAATTATTTAATAACGGTACGTTATACAACTTAATATTATATTTTTTAATATAAATTATAATGAATTGATTTAAATTAAATTAATGTACGAAGCAATTAATATTAATACTATTATCTATATAATATAATATAATATAATAAATAAAATGGATGGCAATTTTTTCTTAAAAACACATAAGTCGAAATGAAATTTTAATAATTATTAGTTACAACCACGACGAAATATACACTCGTTATTGCCGGGATATAGAGGAAAAAGTACGTAAAGGATTCTGTCAGTTTCAGTTCCGCAAAAGTGACGGATATTATATGGACTAATGAGTAATTTTAAGCGCCGGACGACCGTCAAAAACTATCATATCGCCTTTATTGTATGTTTTCAAGCTATCTGAACAACGTAAATTAACACGGAGGAACATTTACCACGCGTTATAAGTTTATAACTGCCAACGGGTGCATATCGAACGAAAAAAACTAAATTGTATACAAATAATAAATAACACACGCATGTGTGCAATGATACAATAATAATGCATTAACGTGACAAAAAAAAATTCGACATCTATACAGATATATTATATTGTATACAATATACATATAATACGTTACGTTGACATGTCTGCGGCGGGATCTAAACACTATAGGCTTGTGGTTTGCCGGTATGCATCACTCACCACAACCTTCTATATAATTAAAACAACCATCCAATAAAATGATTACCTATTAATGTTTAGCGTATAATATGTAAATAATAAATATACGACGACTACGACGACGATGTAATATTAATATGAGTCGAAATTTTCATTCAATACTTGTGGTCTGTGTAATCCAATCAGTTTTCGTGTTTCGATAATTTTGTACTGCGTACAATTAAATATTGTAAGAAAAAAGAAAAAAAAATTTTTTTCCATTAAACAAATTATCATTGTACATCATTATTATGCTACTACCTATCCCCCATGATAATGCACTATGCGTTAATCATTTGAAATATAAATTATTGTATAAATAAATTGCTAAACACATAACAAATTTGAAAGAAATGCTACGCTAAAAGTTTAACTTATTACTTACTATATTAGATTATATACACAGAAATAAATACCAAAATTGGTGAAACAAAATATTTGTTTCAAATTAACAAGTAGTTTTCATTACAAGCTTCATTTTATTAATTAAAGCAAAATCCGAAACTTCACTTATATAATATATAATATATATAATATTATGTACAAGTAGATATTATATTGTTATAATACACTGAGGATTATTAAAAACAAGTAAATCATTCGATAATCAATAGGTATATATTATATTTATAATTATAATAGTTGAAAATGATTTTTTCATACTAAAATTATTAAAAGTGGGCGATCTCAAATATTTGTACAAATAAATCACCTTTTGATATTTCAAGGAAACACTCTATAGGTAGTTCTTATTTTAAAATTATATTAATTATTTACGCAAAGTATATAACTTAACTATTTATTATTTATTACAAATTATAGAAGTTGTTACTTGGTAGGTACTAGGTATTATTGTATTAACTATTAAATCATTTTAGAAATTTGTTATTTTTTGTTCAAATATAAACGACAAAAATAAAACCAGTTGAGAATCTCTCTAATTTTTTTTTTCTATTTTTAATACATTAATTAAAAATATAAGTATATGTTACTTGTACGTATAAACGATTATTTTATTTCATAAATTCAACTTCATTTCATGTTAAACGTCTTACAACATTAAATATCACAAGACCACATTTATAATACTACTCTTGTGTAAGTAACGACATATGTTATAACATGTCAACAATAATGCACACTCATGAGTTACTTTTATCGTGTAATATTTTGTATCAAACATACTAATTGTGTACGTAGGTTTAAATAAATATCACTGCTAAAAAAAAAATAATAATATGTAATAAAAATTGCATGTAATTTTTTTAAACTCTAAAATGGTTTGATCGACGTAAACGAAAATTTGATTAATGAATAAAATTATTGGGTATATAATGTGTTAAATTCTGGTTTTTAAACTTATACTCAACAGACAACGATACATATGCTTTAAAAATAAAAATGAACTGTAAAGATGTATTTATCAATTAAAATCGTCAACCATTTATTTGTAACAGAAAAAAATTTAAAAATCTAAACAAGTTTCCATAAATAGAATATTTAAAACGTGAATATAAATATTGAATTAAAGTAATAAAATAATAGTAACAGCTATTTTTGATTGATAACTTTTTTATGTTTTGTGTGTACTACCTATTAATTTATTTCACTGTATTAAATACAATTTTTTTATTGTTTAGTAACAAATAAAAACATTTTTTAATTTAATCTAATATTTCTTTACTTAATATTCATAAGTTGCGATAAATACAAGTAATAAATAGAGTATTAAATAACAGTGAGAAATCTTGGCCAATTGTAATTATTAATGACTTGAGTAATGCATATTTATATGATTGAGAATACGAGTAAAGTATAAAAAAAAACATTAAACTTATTATGCATTTCAGAAATTTGATGACAATATTAAAAATTATGTAAAAACGTAATTTTTATTTTAATAAATTGTAATTTAATATACACACATTATACACGTCATAAACCAACCATGAAGAATTTATTATTTTAATTGTATTAGTGTGGTGCAAAATTTGAGTAACTGTAAGAGCTATGATAGGTATAAACACTTATATTGTTGTAAAGTAACATAAGATAGTAAAAAAACAATTAAAATAGTTTTAAAACGTTAAACAAAAAAAAAAAAACAAAATGTTGGTTAAATACTATAAAAAGCTGGCGACCTGCAGTCATATGAATTTATAATTATAGCTTAATTATTTGTGGTAGTGGTAATACCTACTAAATGCTTAGCATTAAGTCTTACGTTAAACAAAAACCAGGTCATTTTAGATACTGACCTTGTACTATATTATATTATGTATCCTAGAATTTGGTAATTTTCAAGTTTTCATAAACTCGGTCATCCTTTATTATTACATCGAATATTACCTTACGCCCGAGGGAGGCTACATAAATATATATATATATATGTGTGTGTGTGTGTGTGTGTGTGTGTGTGTGTGTGTGTGTGTGTGTATTATAGAAATATATTTCCTAGTCTCCCTTCAATACAATATCACCCACATATTTATAGTTGGCTGAGAAAAAAAACGGGTCAAGGATCTGAAAGGTCTGGGTCGGGAAAAAGAGTACAACAGCAAATACTCGAAGAAAATAAGATATCACTTTCTACATAATATTATATTATTATTATTATTTCTTTACTGTCAGGCCATAATAGTTATTTATCAGAAATGCATTTGACGGATAATCGAATATTAGTTATAGATAATATAATGGTAAAAGTAAAATAATTTTCTTTTTTATTCTTATTGTACATAATGATGCGTATGTTGTTTTGAAATCTCTTAGAATAGTAAGGACCATACAGACACGTATTATGTATAGATGAAAAATCATTAGATAAGTACAAAATTAAATGTATATTTCTACGGATTTATGTGATGTACGCATAAGTATAAATATTGTATACAATATAAACTGTAAATGTCCAGATGTCGAAGATAAGGTTTCTTTATTTTTTTTTTTAATGTAGTTTTAAGATTGATTATAAATAGGTAGGTTGATTATAGAGATATGAAAATTTACTTCGATGATAATTTATGTCAAGAGTCAAAACTCTAGAGCGTCATTTTATTCATGAAAAAAAAAAATACTGATCAGTGATTTTAATCTATACCTATAACTTTTATGAACCATGCAAAATCATAAATTCCATAAACAATACATATATTATTACTAAATACTAATGATAGTATAGTTTACAAAGTGATCCATCAACTATAAAACTATTTGGTTTGACGGATTATGTAAGGTTTATTTAATCCTTATATTGAACTTGTTCTATGTAAGAGCTTATTCTATAATAAGATTATAGAATTTTATATTATACGTTATTTTTTTTACAGTGTTTTTTAAAATTATACCTTTCGATTTACTCTTACACGTTAAAATAGTATTCACAACATCATAAATTCTGTTTTAAGATATACAAATAGATAATAAACGTATAAGTAACTAAATAAAAATATCATACATTATACAACTGTATTAAAATAAAACTAACGTTTAAACATTAGCTATAATGCTTATAAGAATTTAAAACACGCCTAACTATAATTAGATGTTAGCATTAAATAAGAATAACTTAATTAAATTGTTATGTTATTAATGTACATTATTAAAAATTTGACAAAATAAGTATGACGCATGTAATATTAAACGATAAATATTTAAAAAAAATATATATGAATTACTACTTTTCTATCAAATTTGCAATGTTATACATGTATTGTTTGATTAAAATCTACCAAACTGCAATATGTACTTAATTGGCAAGTATAAATAATAATATAATACAAATTTTAAATACCTAGAAAAAAATAATAATTACTTATTGATA